CAGAACTTACCAAGTTATTGCTGCTCCCTCCATCAATTATAGCACGAACATAGAAATTATTGACAATGAGGAACATTTGAAACAAATTATGGCGTTGTAGCTTGTCTATTGGCTTAACTTGTGTACTCAAAATACGCTGAACAAGGATTGATTTATAGTCTGCAGTGCATGCCACACTATCAATTACCTCATCAGGGATCTTCACACTATCCATAAATTTATCGCATAAAAGATCGGGTTGCAAGTGCAAATTCATTCTCTTCATCACTAGCACTAGCATACCCACCATCATCAGTAGCAATATATGCGCGTTTGCTGGGGCATTCTTTAGCAATATATCCCATGCCCTTGCAGCGGTGGCACACAACTTTAGAAGAGCTGCTAGAGAAAGGTGTAGCAGATCCACTAGAAGAAGGTGTGATAGGAGAACTCTTCTTCTTCTGAGATCACTGGTGGTGTCGCACATTAGAAAAATTTACTCACCTCGGTTGGGCGTGAAGGAATGGATGGAGTCACGGACGGAGTCGTGGAACGCCTAGGTTGTTATCCATGTACTTCCCTTTCAGCTTTAATAGCATAATAATATAATTGGGAAAATCTAGTCCATTCTTTATAGTCAAGAACATCCTGTATTTCACGACGCAAACCTCCAAAAAATCTAGAACACTTATCCATTTCATCCTCTCGTATGTTACTACGTGCTAGACCAATTAAAAGCTCCTGATAATATTTCTCAACAGTCTTACTACCTTGATTTAAACGTTGTAGTTTTAATCGTAGATCCTTGTTGATAGTATGGAGGAACAAATCTCGATTTCATTAAATCGTTTAAAAACGCAGTCCAGTTTTGAGGTATTTGAGCATTAGCATTAGCATTATTGCAAATATCATTCCACCAGAAAAGAGCAAAACTAGTAAACTCACTAGTAGCAAGTCTAACTCTATATTCTTCCAATACTTGATGGGAGCTAAATTTTTTATCTACAGCCATCTTCCAATCTAAATATGCTTCAGGATCAGCAGAACCAGAAAAAAGAGGTATCTTAAACTTGGTTTTAGATAAAGGATTATTATTACCTTGGTTATTACCTCCCATACCGTGTCGGTTAAAGTTCAACCGATTACGGTTACGTGCATCCTCAGCACGTCGTTGAGCTTAGACTTCAGCCTCCGCGTCACCATCATCCTCCTCAGAAAGATCATCCTCATCATCTTCAGGACATGGCTCAAGATGTCGTTGTTCAACATCTTCAATCCTCTTGGCCAAATTGATAATTTATTGAAGGATCTCATTGAACTTGTCATCAAGAACGGCACGAAGCTCATTCTTAGAAACACAGTCATTGAAATCTATAGGTGCGTCCTCGTTTCCTTGGCCGTTGCCTCCGGCTTTTCCTGACATGGTTAGTAGAAAGGAGAAGACAACACAAATAGTATTATCCCTACCAACTACTTAGGTTGTGGACAAGAAAAAATAAGGCACTCAAACTCTCAAGTGTCTTACCACGGTCTTACAAGTGTTCTTACCAAAGCAACAGGCGGTGCAATTGGTCGGTGACTGTGATACTGTTGTAACTTGAGTGTAATAGTTGCAAGGCGAACATGTACTTGGTTAGAAGAAAGTGGAGTTTGGACAGACACAATATAGTAGCAAGGAATAGCAAAATTCACAACTGAATAGCAAAGCTGAATAAATATCCCAAGTACTTGTCTTAATTGCTGGCCTATTAATGTTCCAAGTACCAGATGTATCAAGTGATGGGAACAACAGAAATATGATTAGGAATAAGGCAGAAATCAGCACACACAAACACAGCTCAAATGGCGCTCTCTATGTGCTCCTCTAGATATTGTTCCTCTTTTGCCCCACTTTTTTCTATTTTTTTGTTGTCGTTGTTTTTTTGGAAATTTTGACTTTTTCTTTTTCTTTTTTTGATATTTTTCCTTTACTTAGGAGCACAAAAAAAGTAACCACAGAAAATATGAGCTTAAATAAGTGAAAGACGTGGCCTATGGGATTTGATGGAAACAGTGAAGACAAGTGTAACAAATTAGATGGCGTGGACTATGGTTTGATAGAAACAAAGGAAACACAGCAAGACTTGAAGGTGTTCACGGATTATGATAAAAGACAAAGGGAAAAACACAATCTAGACTAAAAAACGATCTAAAACCAGCAACCAGAACTTAACCTAGGACACAAACTCAACAATGCGAAACAGAAACGAAATTGCACGGCACAATGAGGTTATATGACAGAGAATATATGGTGGTATATATATTTTTTTGGCTTTTTGTGGACTATAGATAATGCAAAAACAGTAACAATCTAAAGGAAAAACAAAGTTATACCTAACGGACAATAATGGCTCTGATACCACATGATGTAGACTAGACCCGATCTTCTGAAAGGTATGATAGCGTCGATTGATGGAGACTCGACGTTCACAATCTAGGCTTCGAACCAAGACTGATTCGGACCCCCGCAACCATTACACCACTGTTCCGTTGGTTATCAACCACGCGAACGTGATTAACCTCGCCGAGAAGGCTTTCCTGCAAGCGAATCGAGAACACAAGCAAGAACGAGATGAACGCAATCTGAAATTACAAATAAATATGAGGCTTATGAAAATAAGAAGGAGTTCAAGTCTTTATTCGAAAGAACTAATCGCCACAGGCGAACAAGATCAAGAACTGGGGCCCTGGTTCACAGCAAGCAGCCTTGGCGGCACAGTTGCAGCAAAACGATGTCTGTTTCACGAGGAAATCAAGTACTAAACAAAACCCAAACCCTAAGGAGAGCGACGACTGCTAATTATAGAGTCGTAGGCATCACCCCCTAGACGCGCCCCCTAATGGGCCCAAACACGATACACGGTCCAACGGACCAAATTACGGTGTCGCAGCACCCTAGCAGATTCTGGGCGCTGACTTGTGACCACTATTCCCATTGATTCCGAACAGCTTTTGACGTGAGACCATTTGGATTAGCTTCCTTATCAAATTAGCTTTTCATCCATATGCGGATCGTCGAAAACGGAGTCCGGATGCATCCTAGGTGACCAGTTTAAGGCAAACTGGTCCTGAAACCCGAGATGGGCTCCAACTTCAGTTGGATTGGGCTTTCACCATGGAAAAGATGAATTGGACGCCCATGCTGGACCTCCTCCTCTCCTTGACTTGTATGCGACGAAGTAGCGATGTCCTCATCAGGCCCATTGCCAAAGCGCCGTCAACTGGGCGCAGAGAAACCAAACGCAGGTGTAGGGGGGCCACGTGGTGGGGCACGTGAAAAAATAGGTGGTCGCGGGCTCCTTCTCTTTGCGCACGGGTACCGCTTCGACGCCATGCTTCGGATTGGGCGTCCAGACGCCAACAATTCCCATTGCATATTTACATGTATAAACATGAGGAATAAACCACCCTACTTCTATGACTCAACTTAGAACAAATTTAACATCTTACATGAACAGTATTTTAATAAAAGCCATAAGTTTTGATTCAAAATGATCTATTTTGGTTCTTCACTGGGCATCCACAAAAAATGATCCCAATATGTTTGGGTCACCAAACTCGAAAATCATAGGAAGAAAATCGTCCTTGCTCCACACTTGGTGGACCTAAAATCCATGGGCCCCCAACCCAAATCTTCCCATTCTCGTCAGCCCGTCACTACTTTGGTCCATGGACTGCATGTTTGAGATTGTAGAAATACTTGTGCGGCGTTCGATTGTCTGAACAACGCGCTTCCAGCCCAACAGGCCTACTCTGCTCTACCTTCCTTCACCGCTTCTCAAAAAAAAACACACAACGACATTTCCTAACTCACATACGGTAGTGCGGCGTTCCCCACCGCTTGTCAGTGGCCTTCTCTAGCGCAGGCGCGCCGCCATGGGCTCCACACCTACCACCCGCATGCGACCTTGTCCGGTGCGGGGTGCCTCGCCAGCGAGGTCACACCTTCCGACCGCCGTTGTTGCCTCCACTACGGTGCTGCTCACCGAGGCCAGACGCCGCTCACGGGGTGCCTCGCGCGACCGCCCGTTGCCATTCTCCTTCGCCATCTGTGACCTAGCGCCATATCTCACTTTGGAGTGCTCCTCCGCCCACCCACCGCCAGTTTTCTTTGAAAGCGCATGTTTCAAGTGTTTTAAAGATATGTTGTAAGTATTTCATATGGATGTTGCAAAGGTAGATCGGAATATTGCATATATTGCAATGGTTGTACACGCTTGTTGCAAACTTATGCTCCCAATTTTCATCTGTTTTTTAATAAATATTTTTGCAAGTATGTTTATCTGGACGTTGCATATGTTTCATACATATGTTGCAAGTATTTTATCTGGATGTTGAGTATATTTGTCAATAGTTTTCAAGTGTTTTTTAGTTGTTTTTGCAAGTATTTCAGACACATGTTTCGAGTGTTTTCATCTGTCTTCAGCTGAATATTACAAGTGTTTTATTGGGATGTTTTAAAAGTAGATCGAGTGTTACACATGTTGCAATGTGACCCACAACACCAACCATAACCCCTGCTGCTGCTAGGGTCGTCGTGTGTCACCGTCGGGCGCCTTAGGCCGCAGACGCCTCCGCAGGCGGGGTGAGGTGGGCGCGCTCTTCGACTTGTTCGACTGCACTTCTGTGCAGCCCAGCAACGACTGCTGCTGCACCAAATCAGAGCAAAAAACTATAGCAATATCTAATGGAAACAGCCAGCTTGTTTGTTACGGCGCTGCGGCGTTATGGACGCACTTCTATTACGTGGAAACTGAACGGGATACTGTGGATGCGCAACGCCTGCTGTGGTCGGAGTCGGACTTCCGGCCGCTGGCCATTCGATTGAAACCTCTCCGAGTCGTATTTTACAACTTCACTACTGAAACGGTGGGACCCACTTTACAGACCACTTGCTCCCTCGGTGCAGCTTGGACTGGCTGGTTAGTGGAAGGTAGGCACACGCGAAGCGATAAGCCCGGGTAAAGGCGCAACAGTGGCCGATGTCGCCGCCGCCGTCGCCCCTCGCGGTGCTCCCACCCCCCTCCTCCTCCTCTCCGCTGTATCCCCCGCAGCGGCCAATGCGGCAGGCGCCGGCGCCCCTCCCCCGGTGCCGACGCCGTGACCGGAGCAGTTCCACGCGGTGGTGTTCACCAACCTCACCGAGAGCGGCGGCCGGCTGCAGCTGATCGACCTCTACTACGACTGGCCCGGGGACCGCAACCTCAACCTCATCCGGGACCAGCTCTCCGGCGACCCGCTCTACGACGTCGAGTGGACCAACGGCACCTCCTACTTCTTCGACTCCGCGTCCTGCCACAGCAGGCTGTTCCCCGTGGGGCTCCTGCCGCCCGACTGGCTCGCCGCCGGCGCCGTCTACCTCGGCCGCGAGCACGTCGACGGCTTCGACTGCCACCTCTGGACCAAGGTCGACTTCGTCTGGTACTAAGAGGAAGTCGCCACCGGCCGCCCCGTCCGCTGGAATTTCTTCAATGGTATGGTAGCTATCAGCCTATCACCTGCACATTCCATCTATACTTTCTGTCGCCTCTTGATGGGGCGCCGCGGATTTTCGGTGATTCACACCCTTCTCGGGTGTTTTGATCTAACAATGCGTGCAATTTTTCTCAAAAAAAAAGATGCAGTCTAAATTTGTAGGAACTTGTTTTCTCCCTTTGATGCAGCTATTGTGGCGATTCTACAATTTCGTTGTGCAGGGTTGCAGTCTGAATTACACCGAATAGTTATCCTGACACTTGGAACTCTGCTTGTCTTTTTGCAGTACTAACATTTCTGCATTTTCCGGTATAAATTATGTGATTTTTTTGTGCACAGACGCAGTCTGGATTTCTCCTATTGCTTAGGTTCTTAATTGGAGATCACTAGTAAATTTTGTCATTGTGCTTCTTACTGCAGTCTCTGTTTATCTGAACCGTGAATATCTTATTTAGTTTCAGTTTCTTCACTTATGCAGTACGTGGTTTATGCAGCAGTGTGAATGATGATCAGTGTTCTTGTTCCCCAGGGATGCAGCAGCATGTGATGAGCTTTGAGGTGGGAGGAGTGCTGGAAGACTCCAAGTGGCAGGCGCCCGCTTACTGCTTCAATGGCGGCGATGCCGGCACCGCCAATGTGGATGCGGTTGGAGTTGATAGTGATGCCAGTAGATCCGGTAGGGTTGATGTGATGAACAGCCTGATCAGGTTGGCCGGGGCTCCAGCTGCAGCTGTAGCTGCATCATTTGACCAGTGACTGTTTTTTTTATGATTGGCTGATGAGAGGCTTTGCCAACGGTGATCCACGCCCTGTTGATTCTGTTATCCTCTGTTGATCGTATTGTGCTTTGTAACAATCACTCTACGTTTCCTGGAACTGGAAATTTGATTAGTCGTAGCTGCCAGGAGTACTATTTTCTTGGAGAATGCAAGGTTCATAATCGGTACTGATCCACTGAATTTGACTATCCGGCAGTGGCACAAATGGAATTGCATTTTTGAGCATCCGGAAAGCTAGTTGGTTGGATCATGACTGAAATGAGCTGCTTGCCTAGCTGTAGATAGGATAGTCATGCCTGGAAATCTGAAACAAATGGCACAAAGGTAGAACTCACTGATGCAGAGAAGGGAGGGCAACCTGACCGATGAGCAAGAATTTGTGCTCAATCATGTGCTGAATGTTGCTCTAGTGTAAAACTTGCTTTTTTTTTCCTCCTGCAATGCAAGTACAGCAATGAATCATAATTTCAAGAAAACTAACGAGACCACGAAATAAAAGTTAGATTTTGTTATACGTTAACCATTTAAGAATTTCATTTACTGGATTATGAATCTAAACATAAACACCTCGGTCAGCCTATGGGTCAGGTATACACGCGTAGGTGTTTCTCAAAAAAAAAAAAAAAGCTATACACGCGTAGATATGAATATGATCATCAGCGTTTGTACTTCTATTAAAAAAGACGTAATCGAACACTAGAGCAGTGATGATTGCAACAAAACATGTACTTTCTGATCCGTGAAAAGCCAGTACTGATTGCCCAAAAACATGTATTTTCTGTTCCGTGAAAAGCCTGGAAAGCCTATGCCTTTAGCAGGTCCAGTTTAGTAGAAGGCCCATTAAAGGCCTTTGGAACATGGAAAAAGGAATGAAAAGAAAAAGGCAAATGTTATGTTCAAATTCTACCAATTTTGAAATAAAGACAAAATTGAAATACTTCCTATTAAAAGAATACATAGAGTAATCCTATTTTCTTCAAAAGTTAGAAATGCTCATAAATATTTATATATTTTGAATTGGACGCGTATTATCAATTAGATTCAAACTTAGCACCAGTTGAGCTGAGAAATTTATCTTAATTTCACATTTAAGAGAGATTCATGGTTAGGACTTTGAACCGGATGGAAGTGAACTCAAACACATGGTATTTTGGATTTGAACACATATTTTCTCAGTAATAGGATACTTTCTGTTTGTCTTTATTATCATTTTAGCTAATATGCTCAACATCTTACTATTACTAATTAGAGGCCAACAGAGGCACCACGTTAATTCTCATCAGACGCGCTAAAAAAAAGATAAAAATCCTACAAATTCTCAAAATAATCAGAAACATCTAACCTTTGATTTGATACTCTAACCATCATCACTGATAATAGCCATTGGATCTATTGTAATTTATTTAAAAAATTACCCACCATTGCCATTATGAAAAATACATAAAGTAACCCCCTAATTTTGCATGTAAATTATCCACCTCTGCCATTACAAAAGATAATTCAAAATAAACCCTTATACATATTTGTATATAAATTACCCACATCTGTCATTATAAAAATAATTCAAAATAACCCCTAAATTTGCATCTAAATTACCCATCTTGGCCATTATAAAACATAATCTAAAATAACCCCTAGCATTGCGTTAAAATTAACCAGCTTGGTCACTTATGAACAATAATTTAAAATAGTCCTCTAACTTTGTATCTAAATTACTCACGTCTATCGTGAAACATAATTTACAATACCTCCTAATGAATTTATAAATATCCACCTTTATTATTATGAAAGGTAATGCAAAATAATATTCTAAGTTTGCATTTAACATATTCATATATGTCATCTTGAAACATAATATAAGGTATTACCTTCATATTTGAAATCTACATGTGAAAAAATAAACATGAAAAATAAATATTTCATAAAATACATTACAATCAATATCCATAAAGCACGATACATATATATTTCTAAAGACTTCTATAATTGTAAAATAAAATAAATATAATGCTATGTTCCACCATGTATATCTATATCTCTCTATTCTATTCTATTCTATCTATTCTATTCTATCTTACTATAAAAGAGCGAATGAATTCTAAAATATCTTTCACCTAAAAACTTCTACCCACTCTATATTTTAACCCTTAGATGTGATTTGAGACCTTGATCTAAGGGATATTAGGCCTCCTTGTTTTCTAATAAGTGGGCCACACCGTAAGACGTAAGATTTTTGTGCGTTCCTGCCATATGATTTGTTGCCCGGCGGCCTCTCCAAGCCGGGTTTTTTAACTCTTTATTACCCACGCCTGCGTACACGCGACAGTGGGCCTCACCCTTTTCACCCTCAATCACAGACCACGGATATATAGATCATCACGATAATGGATCATCCTCCTATCTCTCGTCTCTTCTGTTCCTTTCCCCCTGCCGCCGCCGCCGCCGCCATCGGGCCGGGTCTGGGACTCAGGGCAGATACGGAGGCTCTCAGAACCTCACCTCCCCAGCCAGGTGATCCCACCCGTCCAGCCATCCTCATCTTCCCTCGCGCCTCTCCGTTATCCTCTACACGACGCCCGCACGCGGGACGGCCGACGGTTCCGCCCATCCCGTCGTTCCTCCGGACTCCATCTCTGGTCATCTCTGGAGAGGCTCGATCGGCGGGGTGTCGAGTAAGGTATTGGCGGAAGCCAGCGTCGCGGGTGTTGACGTTTCTTTCTTTCTTTTTTCCCCGTGTAGTTGGCACTCGAGGTGCCGGGATGGACGAGAGCTACGCATTCTATCGATGGAGGAGCAATTATAGAGGTCTGGTCGTTTCATCTCTTCCGTCTTCCCCCACGGTTCATGGACGCATGGTGGCAATGGCATCCCATGAACCTCAGATTTATTGGTGAATATTTTTTCTACATGCCTTTCCTTTCCATTACCATTTGTGCGAAATACAGCGAAATAGAGTTGATTTTGAGGAATAAAACAATGCCAAAACATTGATTTGGTAGCGCTATCTTTTACTTTATAGTTAAAAAAGGGCTTGTGAATGTACGAGAACTGAACAGAGCATACTTGTGTGATGGGATTAACCGTATTCTACATAGCTTTATGTCTTTACAGCCTGCCAAAAACTAGATGGGTGGCCAGTTAATAGAAAAAAATGCTGAATCAGTTCGTGCGGCCATGAGCGAACAAAGATTTAACTAATGTGCTTGCCTAAAATAGCCATACTTTTTATGAAGGCCTCAAACATGTGTAATTTAATTAATCACTTTTTAAAAATATATACAACCTTTTGGCAGTCAACTGATACCTCACATGTCTTGTTTACCAGTTTGCTTGTCACGTCATAATTTATAGTTGAAACAGTAATCAATCCTAAATTATTTTGAATTTGCCAAGGAAATGATTCCCAAAAGAGTTGTTGTCGAGACGCGCTATGTCGGGGGCTCGTTATCGGAGACATGATCTCGGACTCATCGGCGTACATATCGGCTACGACGACGGGTTCGACGACAGCAATTGGAGGTAAATCTCTGATTCTGACCATATCTACAGTGCATATTTCAGCTGCCAACCACTGCTCTTGTGTGGTCCATTTGGACTAAACTGAATGTTAAAATCCTTTATCCGTCTCTAGAACTTATGGTTGCCATCAGGAATCCTACAGTAACTGTCTTGAGTGCTGTCCATTTGTATTGATGACATTTCATTTGATTTAATATAAAACATTGCTGCATATTGTTGGGGGGAAGCATCCCCGGCGCCGCTCCCCCCTGACCCTCGACCCGCAGCTAACCAAACCAGCTCACCTCGCTGCGGATGTTGACCTCCGCCGCCGCGAGGGTTTCTCGTCCGTGGCGTCTTCCCTTTGTGTTCAGGTGGTGCACTCGGAGATCGCATAGAGCGAAGGGGAGCTCGGCGGGAGGCTAGCAAGAACGACGACGAAAGGTGGACCCTCGCCGTGTGCGCGCAAGGGCCGCCGCCCACCGCAGGAAGGCAACACCCCAGGGACGACGACGGTCCCACCGAGGAGATGGAGACCCGAAAGACGACAAACGAGGAAGGAATATTACCGCTGTACCCTTTGGTTGTGTATGGTGCTTAGCTCCCGGAGGGAAACCCTGATGTAATTCCACCTTGCCTCCGGGTATGACTTATAAATACCCGGAGTGCTCATGTAAGGGTCATGTTGATTTTATTTTTCCAGACAAATTAATGAGTATATTATCCGCATTTTCTCATCGCCCCTTTACCCTCGCTAATTACTCTGCCCTCCTCCTTGTGGGAAACCCTCGGCCCCTCCCCCCACGCTCCTCAACGAGGGCGGGTGGCCAGGAGTGACCCCACAGTTGGCGCTGTCCGTGGTGACCCCAGTCCGCCACTTCTCAAAAACAATGGCAACAACAAGATGAAACACCCAAAGGGACCTGCCCCCGCTGCGAGGGTCGGATGTGGTAGCAGAACCTCATGAAGTGGAGCAGCGGGGCTCCAATACTCCAACCCACCGCTCAACAAGCGGAAGCACAACTCTATTCGGATGGGGCCCTAGCAGTACGGGGGCAAGCCAACCCCCAACCCGACCCATCCAGGCGAAAGGAACCGGCCACGTCTTGGTAAAAACACGCACGATGGCGCAGCAGGCGAGAGGCCTCAAAGCCCTAAATCAGATGCATGAGGACCTCTAGGAGAAAAGATGTCGAGTCGAAGCCCACCAGAGGCAGGCATGCCTACAAGTGATAAGGCAGAAGGCAGACGAAGCTAGGGAACAACTCAGGCAAATGGATGAGTACCTAGCCTCGGTCGAAGTTGACCCAAATTATCTACCCAAATAGTACAACTTACCACCTCCGCTCCACCCAAACCCACCTCCACTACAGCCAAACCCACCTCGGCTCCACCCAAACCCACCCCTCACCACCACCACCTCATTTTCACCAGATCTACCCAGAATACATTCCCCCAAGCATACAACAACACCACAGA